GAGGCAGTGTGTTTCATTCTGTTGTACATAGGTCCTTATGAGTCCAACCAACCAACAGTACCTAACAACAACAAGGGTTAGATAACTCATGTAAGAGAGGGACACTGGGGCAAGAAATCTTAAACACAACTTGCCTAAAGACACACTACTTGTAAGTGAACACACAGCCATCTTATATTAGTTGAGCCGATCAACGAACGGCCAAGGTGAAGGTGGGTGGCAAAAAGCAGGAGGCGGGGCAGAGGGCACAGGGCCAATGGGCACATGTTTGTGATTGGTGGGTTCCCCTGGGGCGGCTGGCCTCGCCCACGCAGCCCGGGGCCCGCTGGGAGTTGTGGTTCGTGTCCATCCCGAGCCACGTCACTGACTACAAATCTCAATTCCTCGAGCGTGGTACTGTCCGTAGTCCCCAGCCCCATGGTGAATTCCCTCGTCCCCAGGCCCACGATTCCATCCTTTCCCCTTTCCTGAGGTCGATTGGTGTAGTCCCTCGGGTTCGGGGTTGTCGGTAAGGTCGCACGGTGCCCAGACCCCTGGCACAAGTCCACTTGGTATTCCCTGCTACTTTCATGTACCCCCGCCTCCCTTTGGTATGGTCTCTCCCTACTACCACGCCCCCTCGAAGTTATTCCTCGCACGTCTTCCCAGTTCCATTACCCCTGGCTTGGACGATCTGTAGTTTCTTTCCCCTCTCCTCTGGCTCAGGCTCCCCCTAGCCCTGTATTAGTACGGCCCAGCTACGGCCCCCTCCCGGGCGCTGTTGGTACACGCCGGGCTCCCCCGCTCGCCGCAGTGGTTCGGTCGCAGCGACCCTCTCTGGCCAAGCGTCCCCCGCACTTGGTACGGCCTGGCTCGTCTTCACCGAAGCCGCGCGCCCGCGCCCCTCACTCGGTGGAGCCCGTGTCTCCCCCGTGCGGCCTACGGCAGCCCCAGTCCACTCGCCCCGCGCCTGCCATGGTCCGTCCGCGCCGTGCCCCGCACCGCTCCGGCGTTGGGGGCCCCCTCGGGGGTCGCGGCCGCCCCCCGAGACCCATCGTGGCCCGCACCGCCCGCTCCCGCTCCTGGCCGGCCAGCCCCCGTGGCCTGCAGCCGCCGCGGATCCGGGCCCGTTCGGCCCCTCCCTTGGTGCGACCCCCCCCCCGCCCTTTTTCCAGAGATTTCCGCCGGCCTGTCTTCCGGGATCACGTCTTTGTTCGCGCCCCCCTCCTCTCAGGGATTTCCCCCATGCTCCGAAGGGTGGTTCCACCTGGGGCCGTTTATCCCCGTGGAACCCCCCGGGTGGTACGTGCCGGACTCTCTTCTTTGTTACTTGCTGGGGCCGGCGCGGCGGGGTGGGGTACGGGGGCGGGGAGGGTTCAGATTACTGCTGACGCCGTGGCCCAATTTAAACGCGTGGCGGGGGGGTGGGGGTAGCGCGCCCTTGTTTTTCCAGTTGGAAAGTTGGTGTCTCTCTGGGCAAGAAATTTGGAAATGGAGGAGTGGTCTGGGGGGAGGCGGCGCCTGGGGCCCACGGCTTGAACACGCGCGCCCAGATGTTGCACACGCCGTTCTTCCCGGGCCCTTGGTTCACACGGCGCCCGTGGCGTGTGTGCCCGGGATTTTCACGCGTGCCCAGATGGAGGATGCCCTGATGGACTGTAGTGAGCCCAGACCTTAAAGGCAAACACACAGCTGTACAGGTACATAGGGCTGCATGCACGCTTGCCCAGACCCAAAACATGCACATACTTTTAAAAAAGGCTTCGCTGGTACAGAAAAAGTGCACATCTGATTTTTCACTCGCGGCCAGACCATGCTCACGCCTGCCCAGATGTGGGATTTCCTCCTGGCTTGCACCCAAGCTCTTCCCAAATACACTTCACCAGTGTTGTGTAGGACACAGAGTTGTGGCTCTTGTACTAGAGCCTTAAATGGGTTTCCTTCTAAACATTTCCAGAAACATAAACGTACTGTTTTGGAAACACACACACCTTTTCACTCCGCTCATTTTACCCCTTCCCTTACGCACTCACAGCTAGTTGTTCATAAGCACTTCCTGGGTGCTGCAACGTGCACCCTCAGGCTTTAAACCTCCCTCCCAATACTAAGTGTGCTTCACGGTGAAGTAAATCGGTGGCTGTTGTTTGGAGCAGCTGCTGTCAAGTTGGCTCCAACTCACGCGACCTCGTGTACCAACAGAATGAAATGTTGCCCAGTTCTGCGCCATCATCATAGTCGTTGCTGTCTGAGCCCACTGTTGAAGCCACTGGGTCAGTCCATCTCATTGAGTGTCTTTCTCTTTTTCTCTGACCCTCTACTTTACCAAGCATGATGTCCTTCTCCAGGGACTGATCCCTCCTGATGACATGTCCAAAGTACATGAGAGGCAGTCTCGTCATCCTCTATTCTTAGGAGCATTCTGGTTGTCCTTATTCCAAAAACTAAATTTTATTCATTCTTCTGGAAATCCGTGGTATATTCAGTATTCTTAACCAACACTGTAATTCAAATACATCAGTTGTTCTTCTGTCTTTTTTTATTGTTCATCTTTCACATGCATATGAGGTGACTGAAAATACGATGGCTTGGGTCAGGCACACTTTAGTTCTCAAAGTGACATCTTTGCTTTTTAAACACTTTAAAGAGGTCTTGTGCCACAGATTTGCTTAATTCAATATGTTGTTTGATTTCTTGATTGCTTGTTTCTAGGGGCACAGTTTTACAGAGGCTTGCCCAGATGTGAGATTTCCCTTCAGACTGCATTAAGCCTAATCTTTCCTTAAGAGTGGCACTCCCACCTTGACGGATGTGTCCTGCAGTTGCTGGTGTACCTGTACTGTAGGCAGGCAGCCTGGGTTTTTACATGTATGGACCAGACTTTCAAGTCACCATCCAAGTCCTACCTAGTGAATCTGCCCTCCCCAGCACTTGGCCTTGAACTTACAGACTTGGCCTGCAGCTGTGTTCACTCACATCTTAAATGCGTCTCGGGCGTACAGTAAACACATACAGTGTGCTAGCAAGTGTGTACACAAACCTTAAATGGGTATATAGCGCAGACATTAGGGGTCCAAGCCTGCTATCAGTCCACAGTCCTAGAAGTTGCATGCATGCCTTCATTTCCAGAGGCTGCTCCAGATGTGCACTGTATATATGTTTCTCAGGTGCTGTAAGTGCCCAGATGTGATCCCTGCAAGCCCAGGGCTTAACCACCTGCTTCATCTCAAGGGAGTTCCTGGGTGGTGCAAGCGGTTAATGTGCTCGGCTGCTAACTGAATGGAGTTTTCAGTCCACCCAGAGGCACCTCTGAAGAAAGGCCTGGCAATCTACTTGGCAAACATCAACCATTGAAAACCCTGTGAGACACAGTTCCCTGAGACACATGGGTTCGCCGTGAGTCAGAGTAGACTCCATGGCAACTGGTTCTCCATTTCAAACCCACTTGAGCATTAAACACACACCAGCATGCTCTTTCACTGAGATGGTTTCTGGTTTTCTTCCTGGTCTTGGCCGTTTGCCCCAATCCCAGAATCACCTGCCCAGATAGAGAGCTTGTTCATTCAGGTTTGTTATTTTTTCAAATCCTTGTCGTTATCCCAGAACGAAAGATATCTGTGTGCTTTAGGGAAAACTTGGAAAATGCTCAACAGTAGTAAGATGAAAAGCAACAACCTTCATAAAATTTTTTGGTAGGGGGCTACCTGGTGGCACCTACTACTAAAGTTTCCTTGGGTTTCTGGCTGCTGGGCTGTTTCCAAGCCTTCACTTGTTTGCTTTGAGATGTTTTTGGTTTGAGAAAAAAGGTGGCAAGGAGAGTGCCCTGTGTGTCAGATGTGTAGTTTTCCTTGGCTTCATAGCTGGAATGTTCTCTCCGTGTTTCGCAGATACCCTCATGACATTTGGGTCAGACCCTTCCAGGTGTTGTGTTGTTACACCCTTGCTTCCAGATGTTTTCCCCAGCTCCCTGCTGTCCTCGATGGTTCTGCTCCATATGTTTGTTGTGTGTCGAGTCAATTCCAACCCATAGCAGCCCCACGTAACAGAGTAGAACTGCCCCACAGGGTTTCCTGGGTTGTATAATCTTTAGACGAGCACGATTGCCAGGTTTTCTCCCGTGGGGCCACTGGGTGAGGTTGAACTTCCAGCCTTTGGGTTTGCAGCTGAGCGCTTAACTGTTGCGCCACCAGTGCTCCTTTCCGTGTGTTTCTTGCAGCCTCTTCCTGCCTCCCTGGGACCAGCCTGGTGTGGTGGCAACCTCAGGGGGCATGAGGATGGGCAGGCGAGGCGCCTGGAAAGGATGGCGGGAGCTGGAGGGGAGCGTTTGGACTTTTTCATGAGGGCAAGGGCAGCCTTGGGGCTTGGAGGAGGGAGGGGCGGGCAGACCCGTGTGTGGGACTGGTGGACTCAGCACCGGGTGGCTTATGCGTTGGGAGGCCTGGAGGAGGCCTGGACCTGGCCTAGGGCTTGGGGAGCCCTCCACCAGACAGCTAGCATCTGAGTTGGGTCACAGAGGAGGGACTACAAAAATTGATCAGGCCGCAGAGGTGGCACCTGAAAGGGGCCACCAGGTGTGTCATTCCAGGCTGAGGGCCAGGCTGGGATGAAGCCTGGGGGTGGGAAGCAGGCCAGGGCTGAGATGATGTGGGCTCCAGAGGGAGGGGCAGGAGAGGGCCCTGACTGCTGAGCAGAGATTTGGTCTGAAAGTTGGGATGTCCTTTCTGGTGCCTGTTGGGGGTCCTCAGCCTGACCTCCTCTGCCTCTGCAGGAAGGTGCACGGGTCTTTGGCGCCCTGGGCCCCATTGGGCCCTCCTCCCCCGGGCTCTTGCTTGGCGGCCTGGCGGTAGGTGAACACCGGCTCAGCAACAAGCTGCTGGCCTGGAGTGGCGTCCTCGAGTGGCAGGAGGTGAGTGGGGCAGCTGGGGAGGGGTGCCGTGGAGCTGTGGGGGTGGATGGAGCTGAGTGGCCAGTGACCCCCCCTTTCCTCCCTCCCCCTCCCCAGAAGCGCAGACCCTACTCAGACTCGAGTGTGAAGCTGAAGCGGGCGCTGCCCTGTCAGGCCTATGTGAACCAGGGCGAGAACCTGTGAGTGCCGGGGGGCGGGCGGGGCCGGCGCGGGCGCCCCTGACCCTCTCCTTCCTGCAGGGAGACCGACCAATGGCCCCAGAAGCTGATCATGCAGCTGATCCCGCAGCAGCTGCTGGTGAGCCCCTGCCCGAGAGCCCCCCGCGCCCTCGCGCCCCCTCGGCCTGGCGCCAACCACTCTCCCCTGTCGTCCCCAGTCCACCCTGGGCCCCTTGTTCCGCAACTCCCAGCTGGCGCAGTTCCGCTTCACCAACCAAGACTGTGACTCCCTCAAGGGCCTCTGCCGTCTCATGGGCAACGGCTTCGTGAGTCTGCGGGCGGGGGTCCGGAAGGGGACGTGCACAGTGAGGGCAGCGCTGGGAAGGCAGGGGTGGCTGCTTGGGGGGTCCGGGGCACTTGCCCCCTGTCGGAGGGCTCCGAGTCCCTGCATGTAAACCGCCATCTCGGGAGTTCTCCTCAGGATGCCAACAGCAAAGGCGTTCACTCCGCAGGGCCGCTGCAGGCGAGCCAGCAGTGGCATGGGAGTGCTGAGGGGCCCAAGGGGACAGAGCATGTGGCAGGGTGGCCCGGGGAGCGGGGTGTGAAGAGTGAGCTAGGTGGAGGATTGTGTGGGCCAGAACTCAGTTTCCTCATCTGTAGAATGGGGCTGGTGATAGGACTTGCCCCACAGCATCACTGGGAGGCTTGAATGAGTTAGAGCGTGGAGAGTGAGAAGCAGCGATACCAGCATGTAGTAGGTGTTCGTTGTTGGAAGGTCTAGGACAGGACATGGGTCAAGAAGTGGAGGGCTGGCCACCGAGTCCCCTCTCTGGGTCCTGTTTTTTCTCAGAGTGAGCATGGAGCGGCATCTCCGAGAGGGGATGGGTGGGGCAGGTTCTGGGAAGGGGGCATCGGGAGTTCCCAGAGGACTCTGCCCGGGGACCACCCCAGTCCACCCCTGGCTGCCTCTGGATGCTGTGTGTCCCCAAAGTCCTGGGACAGGCTGCAGCTGTGATTGATGGGAGATTCCAGCTGCTGCCTTCTGAGGACTGCTCGGGGCCCTGCTGGGCCCTCCCAGGGCTCCCCAGCCGGGGGGTGAGGATGAGAGCACAGACCCAGGGATGGGGAGTGGCACCTGGGCCACCCTGAGAGAAGTGAGGCAGGCAGAGGTGGGGGAGGCGACTTGGTAGATGGAGCAGCTGGTGCCCAGGCCCCGCGGGAGGTGTGCAGCGTTCTCAGGAGGGCTTGCTCCTGGGCCAGATGCTGCAGACAGGGATGCCTGTAGACGGGGACACCCGTCAGAACCACAGGCCCCATTTAGCAAGCGTTTTATATGGTACTTTCTGTGTAGACGATTGTCATGTTGTTTTCCGTATGGGTAGACTGAGGTCTAGAAAGATGAGGGGACTTACCTTTAAGCCACACAGATAGGAAGTAGCAGGCCTGGCTTTGAACTCAGACAGTACGGCCTGACGTCAGGGAGGCTTGGGCTGGAGACAGAGCCCTTGGGGCCCTCATACCTGCCCAGCCACAGCTCCAGAGTCCCAGGCCCTACCCTGATCTCTGGGTTCCCTGGGTCTGGGAACATCCATCGGGGCCCTCTAGTGGGAAGCTGGGTTTCAGCGGACACCCCTCTGACTTTGAGGCCATCTGTTGATGAGCTCTTGCCACTCCTCCCCCAGATGAGGCAGTCAGTGGTCACGGGTTGATGGGGGGGGCATCAGGGCCCCATGGTGGCTCCCCTGGGCCTGACTTCCCGGCTGCCCACAGGCGGGCTGCATGCTGTTCCCCCACATCTCCCCCTGCGAGGTGCGTGTGCTGATGCTCGTGTACTCGTCTAAGAAGAAGATCTTCATGGGCCTCATCCCCTACGACCAGAGCGGCTTCGTCAGCGCCATCCGGCAGGTCATCACTACCCGCAAGCAGGTGCGATGGCTGAGCCTGGCCACCCACTGGGAGAGAGGGTGGGAGGCCGCCTGGGCACCTGGTCTGGTGGATACGAGGGCTGGGCTCACTCTGGATCATGCAGAACTGGACAAGAGAGGCAGAGAGCCTCAGGGGAGCCTGGGGAGGCTCCTGCCCATCAGGGCCTTGTGGGAACAAGTGGCACTTGAGGGAGGCTTTGAAGGGATACAGGGATGCTGGAGGGAGTTGCGGTAGCAGGAAGAGCCTGGGTGCAGATGGGGGAGGTGGGTGGTAAGTGGGTGTGTCAGCTGAGGTGGGGGCTGGGATGGGGCTGGAACAGCCTGGGAGGGTGGCCAGGTACCCCGGTTCTCCGGGACGGGAGAGGAGAGGAGGAGGTCTGGGTGGGGTCCGGGTGAGAGAGGAGAGGGAGAGGGCGGGGCAGGGTCCAGGCGGGAGAGGACAGGGAGAGGGAGAGGGCGGGGCAGGGTCCAGGCCGGAGAGGAGAGGGGAGGCCAGGGTGGGGTCCAGGCGGCAGACGAGAGGGATGGGGGAGGCCGGGGCAGGATCCAGGCGGGAAGAGGGAGGCCGGGGCAGGGGTTCAGGCAGGAGAGGAGAGGGGAGGCCAGGGCAGTGGTCCAGGCAGGAGAGGAGAGGGGAGGCCGGGGTGGGGTCCAGGCGGGAAGAGGGAGGCCAGGGCAGCGGTTCAGGCAGGAGAGGAGAGGGGGGTGGTCCAGTTGGGAGAGGAGCGGGGGCGGTGGGGAGGTTCGGGGCAGGTTTATGGGGCTGGAAGGCAGGAGCGGGGGGGTGAGGGATAAGGGTTGCGGGGGGCCTGGGGCAACATGGAGGTTTTCCAGAAGCCCATGGGGCAGACCCCACCCCGCCCACCTGCTGCCTCTTCCCACAGGCAATGGGCTTGGGTGGTGTCAATTCAGGCCCTGTCCAGATTGTCAACAACAAGTTCCTGGCGTGGAGTGGTGTCATGGAGTGGCAGGAGGTGAGCCCTGGGGAGGCCTGTAGGCTCAATGGTACAAAGGAGCGTGGCCGCCCCTGATGTCCCCTTCTTCCTCTCCCCAAAGCCTAGACCTGATCCCAACAGTTGCTCCAAGAGGTGGCTGCCGTCCCACATCTACGTGAACCAGGGCGAGATCCTGTGAGTGCCGGGGCAGGGGCGGGGCCACGGGGCAGGGCAGGCCCTTCCTGATCCTGTCCCCTTGGGCCTCACAGGAGGACTGAGCAGTGGCCGAGGAAGTTGTCCATGCAGCTCATCCCGCAGCAGCTGCTGGTGAGTGGGGATGGGCTCAGGGAGCATAGAACAGAGGTGGGGCGGGTGCAGGGCTCCCCCAGAAAGGGAAGAGGAGGAAGGGAGCACCCTAGGTAGTGGGCAGCATGTGCAAAGGCCCTGTGGCTGAGGCTGTAGCTAGCGAGGAGAAGAGTTTGGGTCCTGCAGGCCCGGCTGTGATTCTGCGGTTCCCAGGAGTTGTCTGAGGTTTTGGGCTGGAGTGAGGCCGTGTGGGGGGTGATGAGAGCAGACAGGGTTGGCTGTGGCTGTTCGAGCTGTTACAGGCCACAGATGGAGATGGCCTGGACCCAGATGTGGGAAGGAGAGGTAGATGGGTTTGTTTGCTTAGATGGTGGAATCCTCCAGGGCTGTGGGCTGGTTTATACCTGGGGCCGGACTCCTGGTGTCCAGCTTTTACGGAGATGGCGTCCCCTGAGATGAAGAGTAGCTTGGCGAGGCACAGACGAGGTGTCTTGGTTTTGTCCAGAGCCACTGGTGTGCAGGGCGGGGAGGGGAGTTTGTCCCCAGAGCTGGAGGTGATGGCTGCAGGTCATCCTCCAGCTGCTGGTGTGGGGACAGCCGAAAGCGAGGGGACCCAGGCCCCTGAGCCTCACACAGCCCTCCCCCTTGGCTCCCTACAGACCACCCTGGTGCCACTGTTCCGGAACTCCCGCCTGGTGCAGTTCCACTTCACCAAGGACCTGGAGACGCTGAAGAGCCTGTGCCGGATCATGGACAATGGCTTTGTGAGTCAGGGCGTGGGGCCCTGGCAGGCATCTGTCAGAGGCTGGCAGCTGGGCCCGTCAGAGCCGGAGGAATGGGCCCAGCTGGGAGCCGGGTTTAAAAATCCAGAAACGAGACCTACTCATATATAGAAACAGCAAAGTGAACGGCACTGGGTCAACAATTCCCCCGGGACAGGCTGGGGAAAGGGTCACTGTAGCCCACGTGGACCCTGCGCCCTGTGCCTGGTCCCGTGCATCGCTTGACCTGCAGAGCTAGGCTCCCACGACCCCGCTCCACAGATGGGGATGCGGAAGCCCAGCGGCCACAGATAGCAGGTGCCTGCTCCCCCACCACCATCCAGGTTTACTTACAGACATGAAAGCCCCCGACCAGGCAGGGAGGTTGGCCCCAAGGCCTCAGAGGGCCCAGCAAGCCTCTTGTCAGCTGGGGCTGGGCCGCCTCTCCTCTCTGGGCCTCAGTGTCTCGTCTGTCAAGTGAGAATGGATGTGTGTGAGGCGGCAGTCATTGCTGGCCACCTCAAGGTGTTTGCTGTACCCGAGTAACATCCATCCCAGGCTGCCTTTCTCTTCAAATCAACTCAGGTGGCAATACCTATGAGACTGCACATTTGAGGGATTGCTTGTATAGTTGTTTAACAGTAAAATAATTTCAAGAGTTTGAAAACACTAAGCTCCCTCAGGGAAACCCGGAAAGGCCTCTGTGTTTCTGCCCAGGCTCCCCCAGCCACGTCCAGCGTTGTGCCTGGTCTTCCATGCGGCTCATCTGGGCCCCGTGTGAGGCGTTGGCTGCTGTGGCCGCTTTTGGCTTCCACTCGAGTGGGCGAGGTGGGCAATGGGCCACTGGCTCCCAAAGAGCTTCCTCCTGGAGGCCCAGCCCTTCTGGCTCTGGGGCCCTGCACGCCCTCTGAGCTCTCTGCCTCAGTATGCCAGTCTGTAAGATGGGAGAGTGAGGATCCACTGAGGCCAGGGATGCACGTCACGGGCATTAGTCATCCCGGAGCCTGGAGCCGTAGACCTGGGGTCATTGGTGTCTCTGCCTCGAGTAGGAGGAGTGATTCGCTCACTCCCAGGCCTTGTCCCTTTGCCTGGTCTCACTGCGCCTCACGATCCTCTTTTGGTAGGGCGATTGCACGAGGGGGCAGAGGAGCTGTGGTTAGGGCTGGGCGTCTGGTGCCCACTTCAGTGCCCACCCCTCGGTTGGCCCAGGGGTGACTGTCCCCACAGTGTGGGGGTTATAGGTAATGTGGTCAGGGCTGGTCCAGCTTGCTGGGTGCCAGGTGCTGTTACACGTGTGTGTTTATCTATGTGAATGAACCTTCCGGGTAGGGCGCTGGAGTCTCCCCCCGTGGAGCTCATCACAATGCAGATTTCTGGGCCCCTAGCACTCCTGTTGATAGCTGTCTCCCTTGGCCATTGTCTCCCCATCTGCGAATGGAGTGACAATAGCGTCTACCTTGCGAGGTGGCTAAGGACAAAGCAGGATAGTGCTGCTGGGACAGGGCGCTCACTGACATCCCACTGTGCCCACCAGGCGGGTTGCGTGCACTTCTCCTCCAAGGCCTCGTGCGAGGTTCGTGTGCTGATGCTCCTGTACTCCTCGGAGAAGAAGATCTTCATTGGCCTCATCCCCCACGACCAGAGCAACTTCGTCAATGGCATCCGCCGTGTCATTGCCAACCAGCAGCAGGTCCTGCAGCGGAACCTGGAGCAGGAGCAGCAGCAGCGAGGGGTGAGGGCGGGGCCCGCACCTGTGCACTCCCCCGGGCCTCTGCACCGGCCACTGGGCTGATCCCTCCCTTCCTCCCTACAGATGGGGGGATAGTGGCCCACCCGGGCCGGGCCTCCAGGAGCTGCGGACGAGGCCTCTGCAGACTGGTTAGTGGCACCCACACTGGGTGCAGGACAGAGCCTCGGCCATGTGGGGTCTTGGGGAGCAGCAGGGTGACCCTCGCCAGAGAGGGAGAGGCATGCCCAGCTGGCGCCGAGGCCTCTGGGGCAGCGGGCAGTCTAGTCCAGCCTGCGCTCCCGGCCCTGAGGGCTCGTGGACAGTGAGGATGCCACAGGAGGCCTGGGGCTCCGGGCCCAGGGGCTGCTGGGGGCTGCTGCGCAGACCCTCCTACTGTCTTCTGCCTGCCAGGTCAGATGCTTCCGAACGGGGCCCTCAGGGAGTGCAGTTGCCCATCGAGATGGAGGACGGCATCCTGAGGCACCTCCAAGGACGGTTCCACCCCTGTACGTTTCCCCAGTAAAGCCTTTTAAAAACCTGCCTGTCCCCATGTTCACTGCGCCGATGCCCAGCATCCCCCACTCTGCTGTGTCCTCTGTGCTCACAGAGCCCTGGGTGGCTGAGAGGTTCTGACTCATGTGACCTGGGAGGGGTGGGGAGTGTGTATTTCCAACAGGTCTGTAGTTCCTCGGCCACCCTTTGTGAAACAGGACCGTACAGCAGGGGTTCTCAGCGGGTAGGGGCCTTTGGAAGTTCCTGGGGGTACCGTGAAGCCTGTTGATGGCCTGCTGTGTGACCTGGTGTAGTCACTTCCCCAGCCGTGACTGGTTATGTGAGGCCAAACGGGCAAGGGGCCGGGCTGGCTGTTGACTTGTTGTAAAGGCCAAGGCTGTGCTCACTCGTCTATCCCTGAGACAGACAGGCCTCTGGGGCTGTCCTCCTGGTTCACTTTTTTGTTTGATAGTCCTCTTTTAGTCGTAAGCAAAAAAGGGGAAGGGGAGTATATTGGCTCCCGTAACTGCAGTCCTGGGTCATGGGCTTTGGGCCTGCTGGACCTAGCTGCCCAGGGTGGCCTCCAGCACTGGGTGGCTGCTTAGCAGCCCCATCCCACCTTGCACGTGACTGGGCTGGCCAGGCCTCCATCCTCTTGGGTGCAAGTCCATTGTGAAGGGGGTCCTGCTTCTCACAGAACCAGATTTTGTCCTTGAGCTTGCGTCACGCAGTGAGCGGCTGATAGGCTGGGCTCTCTGGCTGGGGTGGGTTGCCGGCTCAGGACCCTGCCCAGCAGGGCTTCCCAACATCCGTAACCATAGCAGCTGGGCTCTCAAAGCCTAAATCCCATTTGCCAAAGAGGAGATCAGTTCCTAGACCAACGTGTGCAAAGTTGAGACTCAAACATGGATCTGTCTCCAAATTATGCAGATAGATAGGCTGGGATAGGAGGGTCTCAAAGGCCAGGGAGGCTGGGGGAGGAGGGCGCTCTGGCTGAGTCACCATCCCCACCTTTCTATTACTGGAAGTTCCCCTAAAACTGCCATCTCTGTAGGAGATGCACAGGACGCTCCTCAGGGGCGTGGGGAGCAGTCGGCCCCTCAACAAGCGGAGGGTCGGCACTGATGGGGCCCTCAGGGAGGTGGCAAAGGGTCTCAGGGTTGAGGAGGCCACTCTGAGGTCGAACTTCCGTTTCACATCTGCAGGCTGTGGAGGCGGCCAACATGGCCCCCACAAGGCCCCCCACCCCAGTCTGTGCCAGTCCCCCTTCCCCCACCACTGGGCTGCCCCAGCGCCAGGCATGACAGCCACCGCTGGACGGACCTCCCTCCTCCACGGCAAACGCTGGCCAAGCTTGAAGAAAAATAGCATTTATTGCAATGGGAATGGGGCCAGGGATGGGGGACCAGGTGGCTCAGCCATCGGAGAACTGCCGGTACAGTTGCTCCAGCTGTGGCACCAGGTGCAGCCGGAATGGGATCTCCAGCAGCTGAGAGAAGCCTTCGGCCAGTGTGGGTGCCTCGAACTGCTTCCTGCAGTGGGGAGGGTAGTGAGAGGCGGGAGGGCCAAAGGGCCTAGACCGCACCCTGGCCCGGGCGTCCACTACCTGTAGCCGTACATGACCACGTCGCTCACAGGGGCGTGCAGGGACCCGGTCATCTCCCGGAACTGCGGGTGGAGAAGGTCAGGCTTGTCAGCATGGCT